CAATTGCTGCTTATTTTGCTTAAAAGAAAATATACAAGCATTGCTTTGCAGACTATTTATACAATTATGCATATAAATTCCCAACACCAGAAGCATAAGTATAAATGTGTTTTACTAAAGAGTCATATAGTTTAGTTAAGAGTCATTCAGTTTAGTAAAGAGTCATGTAGTTTAGTAAAGAGTCATAGATTAGTAAAGAGTCATATAGTTTAGTAAAGAGTCATATAGTTTAGGAAAATATAGTTTAGTAAAGAGTCATATAGTTTAGTAAAGAGCCATAAAGTTAAGTAAATACACCAAAATTCATACCAACAGTTTTAGAAAATTTTCCTTCAATAATACCAAGTGCTTTATTAGCTGACTTAAAAATTTATTTTGGCAGTTATTGAATAATCCGAAAATTCATTCAAAATTACACCAAGATATTTGCAAGAGGCAAAATCAATAAATAATGCACCACCTTTAAACTGAAAAAATACTTCTCTTGGCATAGATTTAATTCGAAAAAAAGTTTGATTTTATTCTTCTTTAGAGTCAATCTGCACTTTTCACTACTCTTGTTAGCTCACCTGGCCCAAAAGACCAAGTGAGCTTTTCTCATCACTTGGCGTCCGTCGTCTGTCGTCCGTCGTCGTCGTCCGTTAACTTTTACAAAAAATCTTCTCCTCTGAAACTACTGGGCAAAATTTAACCAAACTTGGCCACAATCATCACTAGGGTATCTAGTTTTAAAAATGTGTCCGATGACCCCGCCTGCCAAGCAAAATGGCCGACATGGCTAATAATAGAACATAGGGGTAAAATGCAAATTTTGGCTTATATCTCTGAAACTAAAGCATTTAGAGCAAATTTGACATTTGGTGAAAATGTTCATCAGGTTAAGATCTATCTGCCTTGAAATTTTCAGATGAATCAGACAACTCTTTGTTGGGTTGCTGCCCCTGAATTAGTAATTTTAAGGAAATTTTGCAGTTTTTGGTTATTATCTTGAATATTATTATAGATAGAGATAAACTGTAAACAGCAATAATTTTCAGCACAGTAAGATCTACAAATAAGTCAACATGACCAAAATGGTTAATTGACCCCTTAAGGAGTTATTGCCCTTTATAGTCAATTTTGAACAATTTTTCGTAATATTTGTTATCTTTTACAAAAATCGTCTCTTCTGAAACTACTCAGCCAAATTTAACCAAACTTGGCCACAATCATTACTAGGGTATCTAGTATAAAAAATGTATCCGGTGACCCCGCTTACCAATCAAGATGGCCGACATGGCTAAAATAGTACATAGGGGTAAAATGCAGTTTTTGGCTAATATCTCTGAAACTAAAGCATTTAGAGCAAATTTGACAATGGGTTAAAATGCTCATCAGGTTAAGATCTATCTGTCCTGAAATTTTCAGACGAATCAGACAAGCCGTTGTTGGGTTGCTGTCCTTGAATTAGTAATTTTAAGGAAATTTTGCAGTTTTTTGTTATTATCTTGAATATTATTATAGATAGAGATAAACTGCAAACAGCAATAATGTTCAGCAAAGTAAGATCTACAAATAAGGCAACATGACCAATATAGTCAGTTGACCCCATAAGGAGTTATTGCCCTTTAAAGTCAAATTTAACAATTATTCGTAAATTTTTGTAATCTTTTACAAAAATCTTCTCTCCTGAAACAACTGAGACAAATTTAACCAAACTTGGCCACAATCATCACTAGGGTATAATTAAAAAATGTGTCCGATGACCCTGCCTGCCAACCAACATGTCAGACATGGCTGAAAATAGAACTTAGGGGGAAAATGCAGTTTTTGACTTATAACTCTGAAACTAAAGCAAATGTATAATGGTTGCATTATTTCATGCATCAATTGTAAATAAAAATATCAGGTGAGCGATACAGGCTCCTTTGAGCCTCTAGTTTAAAATATCAAACTGTTCTTTTTAGTGTCACTGTATCAGCGCTACCAGTGCAATATCATCAGCATATAATAAAATTGAAACCATGGTGTAATCTATAATTTGAATATCACAATAAGCTTCTTCGATATCAGACTAAATCGTTTACATAGATAAAAAAAAATAATGTCGGCGATAAAACGCAGCTTTGTTTTACACCAAGTGCTACTGGAAAAAAGGATGTCATAAAGTTATTCGTTCTAACTGCACACTTGACTTTATTATAGTCTATATTAAGACCAACCATTTACGTTCCACACACTAAACCTAACGTTTCCCTAAGTTTCCTTATTTGGCACAATTCTACCACGAAAACTTTGTAATTCCTTTCTTTTCTAACCATTTTGAGAATTTCCGTAAATTGGTGTTATTATTGCGCATTTCAGTCTTAAGATCATTTTCAATATATAGGTTAACAAAATTCTAAGTTTTCTTTAAACTAGATTTTGCTTTCATTAGTTCCTGCTTTTGTTCAAATGTTTCTTCAATTGCAATAATTATAACCGTCTAGTTGTTACCTTTAGGCGTTTATCTTTTCGCTTGACTTAAACCGTCTCAAAATGGTGTTCATTGTGGCAAATGAATCATTTATTTCTACTGTAGGGGGTATTACATATGTCCTTATGTAATATTTCTTGAAGTTGGAGATTTCCCTACTGAATGCATCATGCACGACCTTACGAACAGCATCAGCTATCTTTTCCGTCCTCAAATTTCTTCCTGATATTATCAACACGGTAACTTAGAGAATCGAATACTGAATTCACTTTCTCTGCTAACGTATTAGTTGCATACAGAACTGCTGATTAGGAGGTGTTAAGATTGTCATTTTTACCCTTTTGTTTTTGCTTTTGATTTCAGTTTACGTTCTGACTCTAAATTTTGCGAAGGTTTGCGTTTACGCTGGTCTACCTGATTTATCACGTCCACATACATACAAACAAACTCGTTAGTAGGCCAATTTATGCTACTATAAAAAAATGATTTTAAAGATAGAAAGGATCTCTTTTTGGGTGAGGCCATGAGTTATATCAAAATATTAATGATATTAAGAAATCTATAGGTTTCTAAATGAGGCTATTATGTCATATTTTTTTATCACCATAAAAGAAAAGAAGTTTGAAACCTGAAAGCAAATATACAATTCAAAATACATGTATAATTATAATGGTTTACTTTTATAAATTTTGACTTGGATGGAGAGTTGTCTCATTGTCACTCATACCACATCTTCTTATATCTATATACATACTTATACCCGATAGACTAATGACTTATTGACATGAAAAGGATGTTTTTGATAGATTTCTTATACTTTTTGATTTTCAACTTTAATGTGATAAAAAGGTGGCCTTAACATACGATATTCCAGAACTATTGAATCAAGGATTATAAGTCATGATCCCTTCGTAAGTTTTACTGCCGCCATCATTGTATGGTTGACCGTTATGGGATAACTGTGTCAAAAATGACCACGGATATGTTCGGACGCACCAAATTTAAAGTGTTCTTTTTATTTTCCACTAATAAGCACATATCCATCCTCTTTTTCTCGAAATGACGTTGAATATTGCGACTTATCGCCGTATTTGTTCTCATAATGAGGGGTGTTATTAGTGAAAGAGAGGCGAAGGATACCAAAGGGACATTCAAAATCACAAGTAGAAAATAAACTAACAACGCCATGGCTAAAACTTTTCTCATTGTTGAAGGCCGTACGGTGGCCTATGATTTCTTACACCCACTTTACTTGAACTCTTGTGGATAGTGAAATAGGAACATATTTGTTTTTATATCTTTTTTTCAAAAGTGTCATAGCTTAAACATTGTGCTGTTACATCAATGTCCCAGGTTAGGGGATGGTTGAGCGCTCACAAACATGTGCAACCCCGCCATATTCTTTAAGTGACTGTCCCAAGTCAGGAGCCTGTAGTTCAGTGGTTGTCGTTGGTTCATGTTTGTCATGTTTGTTTTTCGTAAACTGTTTTTTTTTAAAATTAGGCCGTTAGTTTTTGTTTGGATTGTTTCACATTTTTCATGCCGGGCCTTTTTTAGCCGACTATACGGTATTGGTTTTTCTCATCGTTGAAGGCCGTACGGTGGCCTATAATTGCTTACACCCACTTTATTTGAACTCTGGTGGATAGTTGTCTAATTGGCAATCATACTACATCTCTTTATTTTTATATACTGCTTAACCTTTCGGAACAACCCAGTTCACCTCCTTTTTTTGATGGGGTTCATGTTGCTAAATCTTAAGTTTTATAAGTAGTATTTTTGGATTTTGTTTGTCTTTCGTTTTCGGCCATGGTGTTGTCTCTGTTTTTATTACTCGTATGACTTTTGATTTTTACCATTTGTATCTTCTTCCTCTCTCGTTTATAAAATCTTTTTCAACTCCACATCCGGTAACGGTTTCCAATAAATCTAGTTTTTTTCTGGATTTAACTACCTCATTAGACAAAACTGTCTAGAAGACTGTTAAAGAAGCTATTTTAATAACTATATTTTTTCAATTGCTGTTTGCTCAACGTATTTAAATGCTTGAGCCTAAATATAACATTTGTGGTCACCTAGAGTTGTTTCTCTTTCCTTTTATAAACGAACGTTACATTCCAATTCTTCAACAAGTAAGTACGTTCCAATGAGATAATGAACATGTCACCGTATGAATCCATCCAATGCATACATGTCCATACCTTATGACTAAGATTGGAGGTATCTGGCAATACAACTCAGACTTCTGTTCAATGCAGGCCTTAGACGTAGACAATTTAAAGTAAAAACACATAAAGCAGTTCGAGAATAAATTGAACCTTCCTCTCAGATTTCCTAACTATATGGATGTTATAAGAATGTTTGTTTTTTAACGGCTTTTAATTTTTTTCGTGTCCTTTTGATCTCCTTATTCTATATCGGTGTTCTCGTGGTAGCGTACTCGTCTCGATATTGAGAGGTTGTATGTTCGATTCATATCAAAGAATTGATAATTGGTATTTGCTGCTTCTCCACAAAACACGCGGCATCCTCAGTGAAGTGTAATTGTGCACGATTACAAGCCTCACTTTCAATTTTGCTACAGGAGAGGACACATCGCCTACCTCCAAGGTAAATATAATGTTATTTCTTTTGATCGGAACATGATGTGTTCCCCTTATTTAGGACTTGATTAGTCCTCGTTTATGATGTGATTTTTCTTAAGGCTTTGATGAGGACTTGGTTATATTTAGCCTGATTGGCACTTGAGATTGGCATTTCTTTGTTTGGCTGTCACTTGAGGTCATTTTTTATTTAAAATGATGGCTTTTATTTTTAAATACCGTTATATTCTTTACTAGTTACTAGTTACTATATTATCTCTATAATATAGTTGGGACTAATATGTTCCTTAGAGGACGCTTTTCTAATTTTCTTGTGACTATATTGCTATCCCTTTTGTTTCAGATGCCACCTGCCACGGTCCTAAAAAGGAGGCATGACTTGAAGTAGGTTAATAATATGGGTCTGAAGCTCCTTAAGAAGATTAAGGATATTAGAATTCCCCCCAGGACAGAGCTAGGGAGAGTAAAGTCTCTAGTTCGTACAGAGGACTTATCAGACGATGACTGCAAACGTCATTTCACGAGTATTACTGGGGAGGATGCAGCGCAGTTACTAGAGCTTGCGGCTGCACCTGTTAACGGGGATAACTTGAAGAAACTCCTACATGTAACGGTCATCCTAGCTAATGAGATAGGGCAACCGGCGGGGGAGGACCTGCGTCATGTAGAAAACGAGGTAAGTATATATATTTTATCTAGAGTTTAGTAGAAACCTTCTTCGATAGTACGACCTTGTAGAGCGTCTCCGGTTAGTGACCTCCTTTATCAGCTAAAAATGTGCTTACATGTGAAGCTGCACCCCTTTAGATTTATCTGTTGTTTTCGTTCTACAGTTATGTACGTGTGCATAAAATAAAACAGATGTAATTTCGATGTTTTTTCAAGGTAACATTCCCGGTTTTGTTTTTCATGTTTTAACATTTATGACTTTTTCCCCTAAGGTTTATTATAATTAAGCACGCTTAATATATTTTTTAAATGAAAATGATAGTAATTAATGTTTTAATGGGACACTAAATACAGATTATAATTGATTGTAGGATTCGGGAGATGAAGACCCTCCTCCTAAGAAGAAAAAGAAGAATCATGATCTTCTGCAAAGAGTAGCAGATCTAGAAAAGTCAAAAGAAGATAACGTTAAAGAGTTGAAAGATAAGGTGAGGAGTTTAGCTTTACAGGCAAACCCCAGCGAGCCTCTAATTCTCCTTAGTCTTGACGAGTTGGTAAAAAAGGCCAGAAGGCAAAACGACGATGATGCAGAAACATTCGATGAATTAGCGCGACAAGCGAGAAGACATCAGGGGTCGATAAATGTTGCCACTCTAACGTTGAATGTTCTAGGGGGGAAAGCTTCTGATTTAGTGGGAAAAGCAATGGCAAAATGTCTCAAGGAGAAGGAAGTGGAACAAAAGATCACAGGGAATAAAGCTAATCATATGGAAAAAATGGAAATCACTTCTCCCTTGGCTAATGCTTACCCCCCTGCTACCTGAATGCCTAACTATTTCATGCCTCATATGCCCACTGGATGGCAGCAGGGAATGTTTCCCTTTAGTACTAGTATGTACCATAATCAAGGCCCTAGAAGATTTAGCCAAAGAAATGGCCAGTGGAGGCCAGGAGGAAATTGTTTCTTCTCCAATTCGAATGATCACGTTGTGAAGGATTGTGAGAAGATGAAAAACGATAAGGGAAAATAATTGTATCGAGTTTTGTATCTAGTTTGTAACATTTTTTATATCTAGTTTTTCATTAATTAGTGCTTTAAATCATAATTTGTAGTTTTTAAGATTAGTATATTTTTGCATAAATTTTGCCTATGCATTTTTTTTTTTATAATTTTATTTTCAAGCCAGCAACTCTGTCCAGGGACACTGATTCCCTAGTGATCTTTAGACCACGTGGACTGCAGGTGCTAAGCTTGTCCCTTTTCTTTTTACCTAAGTTGGTTGCTTCCATTGTATTTGTATACCTTGCATTTTGGTATAGAAATTTATTCTGTATTCCAGGATGTGAATACACAGAATTCTGATTTTCCTCGCCTTTCTACTCCGTAATGGAAAAAAAAGGTTCAGTTTGATCCTCGTAGTGCCTTGCAACATATAAGGAAGCACCCAACATGGGAAACGTTGGATGGGGACAAGCCAGCAAATGCAGTTCACCATATTACGAGATCCTGACAGTTTTGCATCAGGTGGAATTAATCAAAATAGCAATGAATGGTTGAAACATTTCGGCGACAATCTTCCGATACAAATCAAAGGTTGGGTAACCAATAGTTTAGACGTAAACGATTTCTTTAAACCTTTTAAAGGCAATTTTAAAGGAAAATCTTATGAAGGAAAGATGCCACCAACAGCTTATTTTCATAACTCTTCTTCATGCCGATTATTTATACCTTTTATTGAGAAAGAGATTACGGAAAGGTTAAAATCAGGTTCGATACGACATTGGGGAAAGCTGGGAGAATGTGTGTTGCTTCGTATAATCTTGCCTTTGACAATAGAGCCAAGTAAACCTCGACTCTGTCACGATGAACGCTTTCTTAACCTATGGATCAAAGATAATCCATTTCAATTAGAAAATCTAAAATATGTACCCCGAATGGTTTCGAAAAGAGTCGAGATGATAGCGTTGGATGCCAAATCAGGCTACGATCATGTAAAGATTACTAGGGAAATCGAAACTTTTTGCGGTTTTCAGTTTGGTGGCTGGTTTTTTTCGTATACAGTACTCCCTTTCGGCTGGAAAGCTTCCGCTTTTATTTATCAATCAATTGGTATGCAAGTTACGTCATTCCTCAAGAACTTTACAATACATTGATGATCGGCTATTAATTGCATCTGATAAGCCTCACCTTCCCCATGGAAATATAAACACAATCAGTTATGCTTTAGTGGAATTACTTACTAGACTAGGTTACACACTATCCATTAAAAAAAGTAGATTTAACCCTTCCCAGACTATAAAATTTTTAGGTTTCTTTATTGACTCAGAACAAAATTTTTTTCATTTGCCGTCAGATAAGAAACTATCGTTTATTGCATTGAGAGAGCTTATCTTGAAATCTGAGAAGGTCAGCGTGAAGACTTTGCAACGGTTTGCAGGTAAGCTAGACTGCAGGTAAATATGTGTCAAGGAACTTAGCTATACCGGCAACAAAATTATTTTGCAGAGAGGTCAACGCAGCTATTTCAAGCGGCATTAAAAATTCACATGATGTAAACATTAGGGGTGACCTGAAAAGGGAGATCGAACACTGGAATTGCATGGTCTATCTCATTGTGACATAAGGGAGTTATAATCGCCTATTATTGAGAAATGTTTGTTTATGATATAAATATATTTTTATAGTTTACATGTGTATGATTTTAGTTTCATTTACTTAACAGATATAGAATTTTGTAATAAAGATGTATTACCTTCTAGTGATATGTTTTATCTCTATAATTATGAATAATGGATAACTCTTTGATGTAACACACGTTGTAGCGTACTAATTTTATTCTTATTTTTTAGCTAGTAAGTTTTGGGAATACGTTATTCAGTATAAGGCACTACTGTTCATTTAAGTACCTTTAACTGTTTTATTGAATAGCACTTGTTATTCATTTATGCTTATTTCATCCCAATACTTGATCAGGATTGGTTGTTGAGTGCATTTCATTACCTTCACTTGGGGTATGTTGACATTTTGGATAAGGGCAGATACTTATGAGCTCTGAGTGATAATTTTATACGTCTACGTAATTAATGCTTTCCTTGTGAACTAGTTCATAATCATATCGCACTAACATAAGTCTTATGTTCTCATCTTGATATACATGTTTATTTGCCATCATCTCATAAACTTTGAAATTGAAGAAATTGAATTGAAAATCCATTCAAAATTATTAAATGCATTTTGTGTTAGGAAATATAATTATTAGACAGTACATTAGACACATAACAACAGAAATGCGTTTTATGCTGAAAATTGAATAGAAAAGTAAAGATACACCGTACTGGAAAAAGACTTTGTGTCTTGAATGTTTTGTTAGTTGCTTTTTGTGCTTTTTATCGATCTGACGAGTTCCACCACTGTCCAAGGTTAGGGGGAAGGTTGGATTTAACCCCGCCACGTTCTATATGCGCCTGTAATTTAGTTGTTGGCCTCTAGATCTGTTTATCATATTTTTTTTTCGACGATGTTTTGTTATGTACAGTTTATGCTTGTCTTGTGCGGTTGCACCACTGCAACATGTTAGGGGGTGTTTAGGCGCCCTCTAACATGTTAAAACCCGCCACATTTTGTATTTATCTGTCCCAAGTCAAGAGCTTGTTATTCAGTGGTTGTCGTTTGTTGCTGTATATCATAGTTGATTTTCGTTTGTTGTTTTGTAAAAAAAAACAGGCCGTCGGTTGTCACATTTGAATTGTTATACATTTTGTTATGTCGGGACCTTTTATATCTTGCTATGTCGTATGAGTTTCGCTGATTGTTGACGGCCGTATATCAAATTGATAATATATTAACGTCATTGGTCTTTGGTAGATAGTTGTCTCATTGGCAATCATACCACATCTCCTTCTTATATTTTATATCATAGACGTAACACTTTAATACAGCTCAGCATCCTCATATTCACTGGAAAGTCTTTGAAAAATAAATAAACAACCATCTCATCTTTGAGCAAATCTAAAAAGACAGCTGCCATCGTCGAAGTTATATATAAGTTAAGAATAATAGAAGTTTCGAACAGGAGTCAAAGATTCATCTGGAGGTCTCAATACATTACATTTATGAAACCGTTTAATATCGGATGTCCTTTGGGCTTTTCTGTCTCATTAATATAATTATACTCCAAATCTTCTTTTAATCAACACAGCTTCGATAGTCTAGTAGTAGCGAGCTCGCCTCGAGTGCGAGAGGTCGTGGTTAAACCAAAGACTTGAAATATGATATGTGTTTTTTCTCCAATAAGCACCTGACAATTATGAGTAAGAGCAAAAAGTGGTTGGCTCTGAGTCAGTTTAATGAGTGACCTGTGTTCCTAACTAGCACATGAATAAACCGACTCGGTTGTCTTTCTAGTGCAAATAGATATAAGAAGATGTGGTATGAGTGCCAAAGTATGGTTCATATTCATAACGACATTAACATGTTTTCGTCTTAGTATGCATGTTTTGTTTTTAAATTGGAAGTTAAACACCAATTGATCATTATCATCCTTTTCATGCTAACCCTTACGGAGCACATAAGTTCACCCCCTGTTTTTGGCGGAGTTTGTGTTGCTCAGTCTTTAATTTTCTATTTTGGGTTTCGTATACTGTCGTTTATCTTTTAGTCATTTTTTTTTGCCATGACGTTATCAGTTTGTTTTCGACTGAAGAGTTTGAATGTCCCTTTGGTATTTTTTATGGAAAGCCTCAGCTGTCATATATTAGAGATTTACAAAACGTTATGCTGTAGCTTAAAATGTAAAGTTAAGACAGCGTGATGTTGAATTGAGTCATCAAAATGCTAACTCTAAATTACAATATGCTAAGTTGAATCTGCGCAATGTTGACTTGCAATGACAAGTGCTTTAGTCGTGATACTATAATGATAAGTCACGATGTTGTGATGATATGCCAAACACACGTAACGTTGGGTTTACAGTACATGATGTGAAGTTGACGTTGCATGATGTTAGCTTGCAGATGGATACTGCTCAGTCATCCACATCGACAGCTATGATAACAAATAAAATGAATAGCTAAAATGTATGGTGCTGACTTGTTATTAATAAATGTTGAGCTGAGATAGTACGATGTTATATCATTGTGATATTACGATTGGTCTATCGTGCAATATGTTGATTTAAAACACCATGATGCACAGTTGAAAGTACACGATGTTAAGTTAAGATAACACGATGCTACACCACTATATTGAAACGAAAGGTTTACTATACAATTTGTTGACTTAAAACAACACGATGCAACGTGTTAAGTTAAGATGCTCACTTGAAACTACAGGACCTACAGTTGAAATTTTGTAATGTTAAGCTACGATAGCACGATGTTATATCATTAGAATGTCACGAAAGGCTTACCACACGATATGCTCGTTTAAAACTTCACGACGTACAGTTGAAAGTACGTGATGTTGAGCTATGATAGCAATATCTTATATCATAATAATATCACGATAGGCTTGCCATAAAATATGCTCATTTAAAACTACACGACGTACAGTTGAAAGTACGTGTTGTTCAGCTAAGATAGCACGTTGTTATATCATTATAATGTCACGATAGGCTTATTATACAATTTGCTCATCTAAAATGACACGACGTACAGTTGAAAGTACGTGTTGTTGAGCTAAGATAGTACGATGTTATATCATTATGACGTCACGAGAGGCTTATCATACAATGTGTTGACTTGAAACTACACGATGTAAATTTGAAGTAGTTTGGTCTTGACTTGAAACAGTGAAATGTTAAGGTATAAAAACAGAACTTAAAGTCAAAATAAAACAATGATAGGATGACATATACTTGTGCAGAATTGAAGATTTTTGGTGTTGACTTCGAATATAGTACAAATATTAGATCGTTTTATGTTAAATTGAAAGACAATAATGATGCGTAAAACATTACAGAATTATGTGAATTGAAACTGCAATTCTATGGAAAAGAATGAGGGACAAATCCCCATGATTTTTTCTTCTTCATTTCTTCATTTGCCAGTTGATGAATATTAATGAAATTTAACCCCGGAGGCAAAATGATATACAAAGAAAGTTTTCCATAAATTCATAAAGCAAAAGAATTACCCATCGCTATATATTACACTTGAATAC